GCCACATCCAGGAGGGAAAGGCTGGCACCGTGCCCAGGAGCTGGAGGGAGAGAGGGCAGGAGGGAGAACTCAGGGCGGCCCAGCCTCAGGCAGGGGCACGCCGTGGAAGGAAGACCACTGTCACTGCCCGTGCTTGGTGGGGGGGCTGGACAGGGACAGAGAGCCACCTGAGGAAGGGCACAACTGGAGTCTCCTGGGGAGGGGGAAGCACGGCCACACAGCCTTCAGCCTCCCTCCCGCCCAGGGCTTGTGTGGCCTTTCGTGGGCCGCCGCCGCGTTTCCCATCGCCCTGCTTCAGCCCCAGACCGCCCGGCTCCTGCCGTCGCCTGCGCACAGGGAGGGTCGTCAAGACGGCTGTTTTAAACACAATACGCTTAACCGAGCCAGTTACAAACCTAGTGCCTGCGTCTACACAACGGGCCAAGTTTGGTTAGTTTTAACCCCGGTTGGGTTTTGTGCCCGTCTGTGCACTGTAGGAACCCAGACCATCTGGGTAGTTTAGGAGCCCCAGCACTGTGCCAAGGCCCAAGCATTGAAGCCGGACACCAGGACAGGAGCCGAGGGCAAACCCACCCGGTTCTTGCTAGTGAAAGGCAGGGCGGCAACCCCCGAAGGCTAATTTCTCACCGAACAGGATTCACCAGCAAACGCTGCACAGGCTGCCTGGACAAGCTCTGCCTTTGGGGCGAGCCCATTTACTACAGAACAGCACCGCTGGGATTTGGAAAGGGAAAATTAACCCGAGGACTACTTGTTCCTCTGTCTGACACTTACTGGCTAAAAAGCTGAGAGTCCTTTCAGGGTCTTTTCCTCCCAGCCCCAAAGGACACCGCTAGCTTGGGGTCTGAAACACCCAAATCGCACCCCCCCCCCAAGAGTAGGCGCAAGCTGCACAGGCCATGGCAGATGATCCCCAAGGAAGGTCTTTGCTGCCTTTGGCTTCTTGGCACAGGATTTAGCCCCCCCTTTGAGCTGGATGCAACTCCCCTCTGTCCCCCCACCAACCCCTGAAATCCCCTGTGCCCCATTGGGCCTCTAGACCAAGGTGCCAACTCACTGGTCACCCAGCCAAACAGAACTCCCTCTACAGGGGCAGTCTACCTCTAAGTAACTAACAGGAAGGAAAGGTGAGATGGATCCTGTAGGGTCCCGTAGCTGGAAGTGATATGGACCGGGCTCCCACATCAGAGCAGCCCGTGATTGATCAAAGAAGCCACAATGGTCGAGTTCACACACGTTTAGCCAAACTCCACCTGCACCCTGGCTTAGTTCGCATGTGAATCTGACAGGCGCCCGGCCCCTTTCAGTTCACCTCAGTCCACCAAGCCAAGCCCTCCTCGTGGCACTGGAGCCCTTCCCACAACACCTGGGAACCCGAGCCAGTGAACCATGAAGGATTTCACGCACGGTCGCTTTGCTGCAGTAGCAGCAGACCGATCCTTCCAGACCGGCAGGTTTCAGCTGCCCTCGCGAGGTCTGTTTGGCACCTAACACCCACGACCCAGCTTCACATTCCTGGTGCCGCACCCCCTCTGCTTCCCCGGCCTTGGCACCTTCAGGCTACAGTCTCCTCTTCCGAGCCAATATGACCTCAGTGCGCCGTTACAGGCCTGGAGGATCCCAGTTTGGAAAAGGCTGGATGGTATCTCCCGAAGCTCAGTTTGGGCGCAGGGGGCATCCGTGGGCTGGCACCTCAACCCAGACAGTCTCTCACCCTCCCCAGATGTGGTCAGTCACGACCCATGTTGCGCACGGGGGTCAGTGAGGCCTCAGTGCAATTGGACCCCAACCCCAGAGACTCTGTTCACCAGGGAAGTGCCACACGGAGAGAGCGGATCCCCAGGGCAGCCCTTTCGGGAGGGTCCAAGCCCCGGGGAATTGCAAGGCTCCCTCCTGCAGCCCACCCAGGTCCGAGAGGGCCCGGTCTCTTCAGGAACAGTGTGCTGGCACCGACTCTCAGGGACAGGGGACCAAGAAGCCCAGGTTCCCTGGTGCCCCTTGTGCAGGGAATGGTCCCAAAACACGCCTGTGAGAGGCCGGGCAGCACAGCATCCAGGACTCTCCCCTCCCGGGCGCAGGGGGGTCCGAGGCAAGTGGTTCCCAAGAGGCGGCTTCTCCCAGCTCCACTTCCGGGGAGCTCTTAGCACATGATGGGTCCATGCCAACAAAAACCGGCCTTCGGGACCCCCCACCCACCCTATAGGCCCTAAGACAGCAGGGCCAGCAAGGCCAACCAGACCGCCAGGCCCTCCGCTCTCTGACACAACCAACTCCTTTTGCTCCACCACGGTAGAACTCCAAGCGTCCGGCCAAAAGCCCCCCCAGAGGCCCCCAGTCAGCATTTGCCTTCTCCTCTTTGCGCTGGTACCTCTCAGCACCAGGGTGATCGGGACCGACTTAGCCAGCTATCCTGGGCGTTATTTACTTAAAAGTTTTATACGGCCGCCCATTTCGCGGCACACCACTCTGGGCAGCTAACAAGAGTGACAAAAATACAAACAATAAAACCAAAACAAACAAAAATCAAGAAAAACCAGGTGCCCGACCCACAACTATTCCCATCCACCTCCTCAACCCCCAGGCTCTAGCGTGGCTGTTCCGGTGCCAGGACTGTCTGTTTTCATAGTGATCCGTAGGAAAATTGACCCGGCTCCTTCCTTGACTCTCCGGGAGGGCACACACAATGGCAACAGTTGAGAAAACCCCAATTCAGCGGTGCGGTACAAGACTGTGGGGGGGAGTATTGTGAACAGCAGCAGAGATCTTCTTCCCGATAATCGGGCGTGGAGCACTTGGCACCCCCACTGGGGCAGACAACCAGGAGGGAGAGGCAGCCCCGGAGCCCGGGAGAAGGAAGTGGGAGGCTTAATGCCGCCAATTTCGTTAACGTCTGATCCTGCATCTGCACCACAACGGCTTTTCCTCCAGGGAGAGGAGAGGTGCCTACCTTGGGTCGGGTGCCAGAAGCCCATCGACTTCCCCAGCCTGCATCAACCACCTTACACTCCCAGGCCGAGAGCTCAGCGTAGTCCTCCCCGCCAGAGGGCCCCTCCGATGGGCCCATCTTCCCCCAGCCGGCACGGCTGAGGGTGGCCGGGCGCAGGCAGGCAGGCAGGCAGGCGGGGGGCACCCAAGCCGTGAGACTTGCACGAGCCCCTGCCCCTCGCCTCACTCCCCGGCAGAAAACAGCCACGAGCACGCGAGGTGTGTGGCTCTGCACAGTTCCAGGGCTAGGAAGAAAAATTCCCAGTTTTTTGGGCAGAGACCCAAGGCTGGGGAGATCGTGGGCCCGGCTCCACCATCCACGCACCCAAGAGTCTGTGGGCTCCCGCCTCCTTCACCCCCATGCCGTTCTCTGCCAGGGCAAGCCGTCTCCTTCCCCGACACGGGAAGAGCCCATCTTGGGCAGAGCCCAGGTGGGGCTCCGCTGTGTGGTCTGGCCCCGAGGGGAAAGCAGAATCCTTTGCCAAGCACGCTGCTCCTGCTCCGGCCCCCGGGGGGCAGCAGATTCCATCGGGGAGACCCAGCCCAGTCCTCAACCTGATTTATTTGCTGCTGCGGCCTGAGGGGAGGGAGATGCCGCCTGGCTCCTGAGTGAATCAGCCCCCAAAACCGCAGCCCTCTCAGCTGCGATGCTGCGTTTACAGCACACGCTTGGGAAAGGGAGCCCAAGATGGGTTGGGCACGGGCACGGCAAGAACCCCCATCTACCCTAGAGATGCGACTCTTCCCAGCCCGCCCCCCCCAGAACTGGCAACCTCAGCGCAGGGGGGATCCCTGGCCATTTGTCTCCCAAAGTAGCCTCCCCCAACCTCGTGGGGCTGCAGCTCCAGCCTGGAAACTATTTATTTATTTAATTGCTATAGCCGCCCATCTCAACCAAGGGACACTGGGTGGCGAACAATTCTAAAACAGTAAAGACAACACAGAAATAAATATATACAGCAGCTGAGAAAGTTAGCGTAATATAGCCAAGAGACAGGGCCCTTAATATATCCAGGGCCCCAGCCCAGCGCAGGCAGCCAGGTCTTTAAAGCCTTACGAAAGGCCAACAGGGTCAGGGCCGTCCCAACCTCCGAAGGGAGGGTGCTCCAAAGGGCAGAGGCTACGGCAGAAAAGCCACGTCGCCCGGTCCCTGCCAGCCGACATTCCTTGGCTGACGGGACCCGCGGCACGCCCAGCCCGCTGGACCAAACTGGACGGGCAGAAACTATTGGGAAAAGTTGGTCCCTCAGGTAACCCGGCCCCAAGCCACGCAGCGCTCTCAGTGTGGGGGTCTGAAGTCTCAGTCCACCAGAGGCTAAGCCTGCCTTCGCGACCTCAGGGCTGGATTCCTGCAAGAGCCGGCCGGCCGGACGGACAGGGGCCACTCGGGGATCCCGCGGCTGCTCTTTCTCTGGAAATCGGAACGCGTCCCGTCCCGGGAGAAGGCAAACCCCTTCCGGGACGCTAACAAGGAAAGGGCACGGTGGGGCCCCGGAGCCAGGGGCGCCCTTACCCTTTCTGGAAAGGCCCCGGGAGCGGCAACCGGAGCAGGGGGTGGGGCCCACTGGGTGAGAGGAAAGGGAAAGGGGGCCCCATCCGTAAAACCCTGACGCGCCAAGTGCCGAAGGGGCCCCGTCCCAGCACCATCCCGCCCGCGGCAGGAGGCCCTGCTCCCAGGCCAGGTATTGGGCTTTGGGGGAGCCCTCCCAAGAGGAGGGGGCCCCTGAGCAGTCTCCCCTGGGCAGCAAGGGCTCCTCCAGGCAGGTGGGCTACAGGGCTGGCTCTGCGCCTCA